ATGAGCAATTGTGTACAATACAGTACTTGTTATTTTACACACTTTTTAAGTTAGGTCTAGTGATGTATATAGTGAACTTATACAGTAGTAGCCACAGATATCTGTGTTATAAGGAGAGGGCAATGAGTTATTTGGTTTTAGCATTTTCTTGAACTGTTGAAAATACATACATAGAGTACATCAGTTGCATAAAAAACAATTTCTATGAAAATACATCATAAACCATCATAATAGAACAAACTTTGCAAACTAGTTTTCCTCTAGTTATGTATAAAATACATTTCAGCATATTGCCCAAGAAAAGTATTTGGTCTTTGACACCAATATGCAGAGTTTATTGGTGCATGGTTATAACAGGAATTGGACTTACCTGGGGGACTTTATTTATATTCAGACAATCGCCTTGCTTTATATTTAAGAGTGCAGAACTGACATGCTGACAGGCATTTCTAATGGCTTTGCTGAGCAAACAGCAGGACATTTTCTATTATTTAAATCATTGCCTGTACCCCCCAAGGCCTGCCATTATTATAGTTTTCTATCAAATCATGTATTATTTCCTTGTAAACCACTACATTTTACTAACCTGTAATCCTGTCTTCCTCTTGTTTTTGCTGAAAATGGTGTCAGCATATTTTTATTCCTACTTTTTATTATGTAACTACTGTATACAACCAGTCAAGATTCTGCATGCTGCTTTCCACATGTCTGTAGTCTCAGAAAGACCTGGTGTTGTAAGTCACCTCTAAGTCAGGAGCAAATTGATTGTAATGATATGTGACCATCCATGACCAATGTTATTAAGCATTTGCTACAGAGAAAGTACAGGATGTAATGTAAATACAATCTTATATGCCCACTATGTTGACTATGTATGACTGTTTCATTTCTCTAACAGATGCGTTATTGCCCTGTCTCCCCAATGTAGTTAATTAACAGCTCTTTAATGTACTGCTATTAATGTCATTAATTCTCTAAGTTGTTTCATTGCTATTTGTGAGAGATAAACTAATATTAATTTTTTATCAGAAACAACTAAGGGAGAAAGCTTCAGTAACACTGGAGATTAACACATTATGATAGTTGCTAGGAGAATTGGGGGCTTTTAAGTTTATCTTTATTGAGTCTCTATAGATTTTGAAAAAAAGTGCGACATAAGAATATTTATTATATGAGTAAACAGAGACAAACAGTAAATAAGAAGGACACAAAAGAGAGGAAACGAGTGCTCATGACAAATAAAAGGTACAGCCAGCATGTACAGTATTTAGTTGTTTCCAGCTTCACTGAATATTGCTTCCTTTAATTCCAAAAGCTGTCATACTGTATATACTGTATATAGGCTGTCACCTATAATCACTCAGTGGTCCTAGTAACAGTACATATTCATGGCTGTAAATTACTGTCCAGCATCTCTGACCCCTGTGTGGTCTCCAGGGCAAATTGCAGCTGCATTTTGGTTCTACTATTACAGACTTATTACAATATAAAAACGGTTTCATCTCCTCTTTCATCTCAACTAGTATTATGGTATGGACCTTTATGTTAAAGGTGAATAAAAACTGTCTAGGCTTAATGGAGTGAACGAAAGGTCTCAAACTGCCACAATTAGCTGAAAGCTTCAATTATATGCAGTAGGGGCAATTACTAAACCTCTGATTTCCATGGTTTTGCCAGTTAGAAAAACACACAGACCTCTTCCAGCTACCCCGCTAGCGTTAAGTGACTTGACATGCTGTGGCTCAGCTGTCTGATACAGTTATGTATTTTAGTACTGACACAGAGCAGTAGTAATTCAGTTGTCTAGATAAATGCCTGTAGGAAATTGTGGTACCTGGTCATTTGGTTTAATGGCTAAATTAAATACAAAATGTGTGATGCAAATGCAGAAAGTAAAAAAGTGATAAGGTAAATAAGTTAAAAAAGAAACCAACAACACCAGTGTGCTAGAAGAATATTGATAGCACGCCCAGCTGTTGCTTGGAGGTACCCAGAGTACAAGATTTTTCTGGGACTGGATATCTTATTTAGGGTACATTGTCTAAAGACTCATGTTTCTGTTTTAAATCTACAGGCCTAATCTTTACTTGTGACCTTGAATCCCTGTTTCATAACTGAAGTTGTCTGAAATAACAAAATAATATGTTTAAAAGATATGATACTGTAATATAAATGCCCTTTGTCAGAAAGAGCATCACAATCTGACTTTGAAGTAACAGCAGCAATGCATCTCTAATGCTATAGTAGATCTGTGTCTACCTTTGCTTGCTTTGAGGCCAGAGTCAGAGGACAAATACTGTACAGTACAGTATATCACCTTGAATGAACTGTGACCCAGTATTCGCAAAGTTGATGTAGATTGTTTTTTGGGGTATTCTTTATATTTACTTTTTAAAATATTTTTAATCAAATATGCTTCTTAATAATAAAATTCTTGACTATAAAACTACATTTTAAATTGCCCCTTATCCAGAGGTTGCCTAAGATACTACCTAATAGGCGTATATTAGTGTTAACCATTTTAAATGTTAATAGCTGAATTGAAAATTTACTTGAAGTTAAAATTTAAGTTACATTATCACCATTTTGGTCAAATGCTTTGAAGTACAGTATACTGCTCTGATTTGCAACAGTATGTTTTCATCAACCATTCAGAAACAAAGCAGCCTGTGAATTTTCACTCAGCTTTTCTAGCCAGCTTATAAACTTTAATGATCAAGAGGATTGAAGTCTGGGTGAAAACGTGTGTCGCATCTGTACAAGTTTGCAATGGGTCAGCAGCCAAGGGTTCTCATTACTTTCATTAGTGAGTGTTATCTGTGCCTAATGTGTTTGTAATAGTGGTGCAGAGGAATTACATTAGCATGTGCCTGTAATATCTGCAACATGACTTTTGACAGTGGTACTGTAAATCAGCTTGCAACATGCGCTTTGACCTTTTCCTTTAGTTAAGATTTGAAATATTTTTTTTCTTTAAATATTGAATGGATTTCCTTTTTCAGAAAAGAAATGTGTCCCCATCAAAAGAATGACAAAGACTATGAAACACAAATGCCACCAGACGGACAACATCTTCTAGAACAGTGGTTTCCAATCATACCCTAGTCCTGGGAAGCCTCCATCCACCTATTTCTAAAGATTAGGAAAGCTTGTAAGTTATTGATCAATTAAGAAAGTAATTAATTTAGGGAACTTGGGAACCTGAGGCTTGGGGGATATTAAGATTTGTGTTCCAAATTATCTCTAAATTGCTTAATTTAACCAATCACTTGCCCAATTAAATCAACAGCAGTGTTATCACTTTGTAGCTACTGTAGATGTCAGAAGCTAAGCAGTGTTGGAGGTGGTCAGTACTGGGATGGAAGGCATCATAAGGAAAGCCAGGTTTCTGCTGGGAGTCTTGATGGTAGAGCAGCAGGTGGAATTCTTTCCTCTGGACCACATTTTCCAAAGAAAAACCCCATTATGGTGGCAGTAGATATCAGTGGAATGAGATGTTCAACCGAGATCCAAAAGATCCCATAGATCCTTTGTGACGTAAAGTGATAGAAATGCAACTATTACTATTTTTTAAACTGTTCCAAGTGTCCAGAGACTGAACACAAGACGGTGTTAACATAACTCTTAGTTCAGTTACTGTTTTTTGTCTTGCTGATATTATTTCAGTGTCAGAATTCCTACAAAAGGCTTTTTTTCAGTTAGGAAAACTCACGCTCTTTATTAAAATGGAATGAGCCAGAAGAAATTGCACAACAACAACAAGAACAAATAAACACATCAGCACATTTAAAATTAAACAGGTGTAGACAATCCTCAGTGAAATATTGTAACAGGGCCCCAACGCACTTCGATATTGCAAAATAAAAATATTTCTCACCCTAACTCCAAATACTTCGTGTTTTCTATATTTTCAAGCGAGGTACCTATGTATGGGCAGTATGTTTCGGTCACACATTGTCTGTATTTAATCAATTGGACAAAGCCAATAGGATTTGCCACTGTGATTGGCTATACGGTTTAAGATAAAGGAAACATTCTACAAATTCTGATTCACCCTAATTGAAAAGTCTATGGCTACACCCCTGGCTTTCTATTGTTTTTTTAAACTTTAGCAGCCTTTAATTCCTTAATGGCCTGGTGAAGATTGTTCCAGAGCCTAGACGCATAAAATCAAAATGTTCCACCCACTGAATGAAACGAAGCTGTGAGAATTGCTAACAAACCTGAGCTCATAGACCGATATTATGTGCAGGAGTATACTATGGTTCAGTGATACAGCTGGAAGTTAGGCCATTAGGGCCTTACAGGTTAACAATAAAATTAAAATCAATCCTGCTTTTAACAAGCCCCCAATCTGCAGAAGCCACAATGTTTCTAATATATGTTGCTAATTTTGAATCAGTTAGTAGTAAATATATTGCAGGCTGCCAATAACATCCTTTGAGGCACCAGCAAGCCAAACATTGCAGTAATGAATCCTACAGGAAACTAAGGCACATATTCCACACTAGATAAAAAACATAAGGCATAGACATACTATATAATAGAAGAGGAAAAAAAATCGCGATAGTGATTTAAGCCAAAGATTGACCAGGGTCAAATACCATACCTAGAATACTAATTTCTGGTGTACTTTGTCAATAACCTTCTTTGCTTCTCGGCTTTTTTTGGATTTTAAAATCTAGCAGCCATACCACCCTGCAACTCACTACTGGCAACCCACTGAAGCAAGCCCACTGGTCTGTACCTGCATGGTAGACTTCCTGGGAAAGAATAAGGTTGCTGCTGGAAGAGGTGTTAGTGGGGCCAGTAGGAGGTGCTCACCCTGCAGTTTGTGTGGGTTCTAATGCCCCAGTATAGTGACGGGGACACTTTACTGTAAAAAGGCGCTGTCCTTTGGATGAGATTTAAAACTGAGGTAGTGAATCTCTGGCGTCATTAAAAATCCCAGGGTGTTTCTCAAAAACGAACTGGCTTCATCACTCTTTTCTCCTACCTAGCTGCTGTGTGGTGAACGACCTGGCACACTGTGGCTCCTGTCGCATCATCCAGGTGGGGCTGCACATTAGTGGTGGTGAAGGGGAGTCCCCACTACCTGTAAAGCCCTTTGAGTGGAGTGTCCAGAAAAGTGCTATATACTGTAAGTGTAAGCAATTATTATTATTAAAAGTAACCATTTGCAAACTTTATCAACATTTGCTCTGACGACATACTGAGTAGAAGCCTTCCATATGCAATAATAACAGACACTGTTTCCTTAAATAATAAAATATTAAACATTTACCTACAAAAGTGTGAAATGAAATACTGTACATGTAAGCAAAAAACCTAGGCAAATTTGTGCAGATTCGGCATTATCTGGACAAAAACATGTGGCAATTTATTCAAACTCACAGCTCTTTGTCCAATGTTTTCTACCTTAAAGTAACCACAAGCTTCATTTACATTTACACTGACTCCCTCTTGGCTTTCACTTCTCAGGGCAATTTCTGTAAGAAACTGCAGTGTTTCTGCATTATCTGCTATGCTCACCTAACTGTTTAATTATAAAAAGCTAATTTACATGAAATGATTTGCATCATAATGTCAGTAGCTGCCTAAATATTTAAATGATAATTGTAGCCTCAAGTAGAATGTATAAAATGTGGAGTAATAACATGTACATTTCCTACCATACAGAGATATTTGACGCTTTAACAGAGAAGCAATATGTGAAGGTAAACTTCTGACAACAAACTGGTGCTTAAGGCAGGTGTTTATTGCCTTTACACTTTACAAAGACTAGGTAATATATTATTTTTTCATGCTTTCATTTTTCAGTGTTTTCACTACTCTCTAACTTCCTGACGCGCAATGAAGATAATTTTAGTTTAGTTTTTAGTTTATAAGTCCAGTAAACAGCAAAGAAAACAAACATCAAATCAATAAGTGAACAGCACTGCAATTAATTAGTTTTTCCTGTATAAAATTGAGCACCAGTCTTGTTAAGATTCTAAAATGCCATTGAATGTTAAAAATGAAATAGTGAATGACTGAAATTGAATGATTCCCTTCCTACCATTTTGGAACTAGTTCTCAGAAGGACAAAAAGCAGTTCAGCTCCTCAGTTTAGATTAAAAATTGTAATTCTTCTGTTTCATTTTTCGCTTAACCACCAGTCAAGTAATACAGTAGACTCGCATTTTACGCTACATATTTTTGCACAAATTTGTGGGTATGCGGTCGGCAACATTGCATTGGGGCAGTCCCACTCTCTCGACCTCAGAAGCCTGGGTCCTCCTCTGGGTGACAGAGAAGCCTGGGTCTTTATAAAACAGTTCCTCAAAGTATAAGAATCTTCATGCAAGTGTGCAATACTATTACAATACTTGCTGGAGTAAAAAAGAAAATCTCCCTCATTGTTTAATTTGATTTTAATTGGCAAGTCATACCCAGGGGTGGTGTATATCACTCATTGAATATGACCTACAGCAACTAGAAGTCTGGAGTGCTCAGATTAAACACGGTTTGAAAATAACCCCTCTGGTCTATAATGAGTGTAGCGCTTTTAAGTCTCAACCTTGTGAAACTAATTTTCAATCAGCCTGGTTTTGCTTTTTAGTGTACTTTGTGACCTTCCAACTACTTTTTAATTCTACTTATTTCAGCCCATTGCTCTTTGGATTTTTAAACTGTATTCTATGCGTATCTGTTTTTTAACAAAAGACAGCGCTGTTAGATGAAATGTTTGTACCAGACAGATTCAAAGTGTCTTTCTTAATCGTGACAGGGTGGAGTGGGAGGCGTCGTGGCGAGCACCAGTAAAAAGCCAATGCCCTGGGTGAGGGGTGACGGAAGCACTGGCGTGAGGTTAGCAGGTGAAAAAAATCTACAATAAGGCAAAAAGGAAATGTACCGCTGCGCCGCGCTACCTCCAGACTGGACTTACCCTATTTAGTGGGGTGCAGTCTGGTAGAGCAGGGCGCGTAAGGGAAAAACAAAACAAGAACCTAGTGTGGAAAAAAATGTGTGTGTGCGTGCGCCTGCCCCAGTGAAAGTGCCCTTCCGGGACTGTGGGTGTCAAAGTCCCCCTTGCGGGGGTGGCCCTGCTCGTCCCGTTGGGGGGGTGTCCAGCCGGCCTCTATAGGATCTTTCCAGCTGTGGCTCATCATCTAGAAGCCAGGACAGCTGGAGCTACAAAGGCCACACTGGGCACGCCCCCGTGTAGTGCCACATACCGTTCTGTATACTTGACTAGCATCATGTGTTTGAGGTTAGCTATATACAGTACGATTTATCAATAGGTGACACGGTGCTGCTGCCGCCTAGTTCTTTGCTCCCGAGTTTGACTCCAGCCTGTGTCCTCTGTCTGGAATTTGGATGCTCTCCCTAGATTTGCACTGGGTGCCCCAGTTTCCTCCCACCCTCTAAAGCCATGCTGTCTAAGATGGAGCCAATTGTCCTCAGTGCCTTATAAGAGAGTCTTGCAGCTTTCCAGATTGTCCAAAAGCGGAGAAAACCAAACCAAATCCCTGCAACCCTGGCAGAGTGTGGCCAATTGTGTGCCACTGCTAGGAGGATCCCACTCACTGACAGTAATATTGCACTATAAGTACCTCTCGCATTAATACTGGAAAAAAAGCCAAATCCTTGAATTTATACTATTATTCGTTTTTTTAAATTTTTGCATTTGGAGCACATCAGAGCCGTTATTTTGTTAAACACATAAACAGAATCCAGTGAGAAAACAGCAGCAAAAGCCTCTGAAGCTCAAAAAGCTCATCTGCAGGCTGCGCTGGAGACTCAACAGGTTGAGAAATCTCCATGCCATGCATAGCAGGAGGCCCGTTTTCCCCGGGACGAGGTGAGCAGCTGCTGTCGTTGGGAGGCAGAAGCAGGCAACAGTGTCACGGCTCGCTGGTGATCAGGCCTGGGCCCTGCAGAGAGGGAAGCCTCAGGCTATTCCAAGCCCAGCAGGATCCACCATGGCACTGTGACTCAAATCGCCTCACTCGGAAACTGTGAACTTAAAAACCGACACAGAAACACACATATACTTACAATCTTAAATATGGCACTAACGGATGACTATCAGGCTATTGGAATGACCTTTTAGTACTCTTAAAGCTAAAAATTATTTAAATTTTGTAGCATATTTTACTTTTAAAGCAAGAAATATTCATTCCCAGGGCAACATATATGTACTTTTCAGGATGTTTTTAGTTATGCTGTTGTTGGTAAGTAGATTATTAGGAATTTGCTTGAGTTTGCAAGTATTAATAAATGTTAAAATGACCTCAATGAATAAATGCGTTACCTACTGTATAATAAAGTAGGTACAGGTACTGTACATACCTTATATGCATTTCCTTGGTATCCATATCCATAGCTACTGTTTAACATAGGGTGGTTATTACCGTGGCCCAGAAATGCAAAACAAAATAACAAAAATGAGCGCACAAACAAAAACACATCACAACACAACTGTTTTTTTTTATGTTTTTGTTTGTGCACTCATTTTGTTATGTTGTTTTGTATTTCTAAGCCACAGTAGTAACCCGTTTCACATATTAGATGTTTGCAGAGTTGTCAAGTAGTTAAATAAGCACCTCTAACTCGCATTGAGTTATCCTCAATATCATTTTAAAACCGTACTTTTGATATTGAGTAGATTTAAAAGACACATCTGGTGCATTTTAATTAACTTTTTGTTATTTTCTTTCTTTCACGAATTGCATTAAATGATGCTTTGTCCATAGGTGTTAGCAAAAGTACATATTCAAGAAAAGTTCTGAAGGACAACACTCGTTAACCATAGTGCAGCTTTATTTAGTGCTTTTGAATACATGGTGGTGACTGCACAGCATTTTTTCAACAGTGTCAAAAGAGAGGTGATTTTTATTCCATGTATCTTCATTGTAAAGAGATGAGATACTGAAACCTATTGTGCTCATTTTTCAAAAAATGGCCTCAGATCTAACTGCATTTTCTCCAGTCCATAACCTCTATCCTTTTTTTTTATCTATGCTTTAAAAGTTTCTTTACAAATCCACCTCCGATTCAATTAAGACTTGAATTAATAAGGCTGACCTCGGTCAGTGCAACAATTACAAATATATTTTACACAGGAGACCATAAAAAGGTTTGAGAGAGAAATGGACATACCATACTTAATAAGGTTTGGGGTAACTGTACACATTTATCTATTATCATGTCAGTAATATATAAAGGTGGTTGAGAACTGGACATATTAACATCAGACATTTATAAATAAAAATCTACCTTCTTTCAGATGCATGTATGCATGTTTATTAAAACAGAACAAGATTTAAATAGAAATCTTGCAGTGCATTTTTCAGAATCCCACATGTATCTATGCCAGGGATTTATAAACCAATGAAAGTACTTTATTCATGGACAGACACCTTCATGTAACAGTTGATGTTTACATTTTGACATCTGAAGTAAATTGCTTGGTATAGACAAGGAACTCAAGAGAATGGTAGTTCAGAATGGTAAACAATTAACTGTTTTTTAATTGTTTTTTACTTGCATTCAAAAAGTATACCCACTAGTCGCATTTTTAAGTCAACAGATGAACAGCTGATCAAAGGCTGGGCATTAATTAATTAATTATATATTACAACGTTGCTGTTGATCAGTAAGTAAAATACTGTAAATAAGGTTCAGAATTTCAAATCTCAGATTTTCTTCTGACATACTGTGAAATAAAAGGCTTTCTATACTATTTGAATATTCTATTTTTTATTAAATTGTTGTCGTACTGTAAATCGGATGTTTTCAATTTAGCTTGAGCATAATTAATAAAGCTGTTAAAAATAGTGAGGTGAGATGCCTCTTAAATTTAAACTTTCTTGGGATGATGAATGTTTATAAACATGAAGACTTCAGATTCCTGCTTTCTTACTTTAACATAAGTTATGAATTCTGTACAACAATAATTCAAAATGGATTCCTTTAAGATCCAAAATGGATGATATTACTATTATAGTGACATAATGCTCACTTTCCCATATCTCTCCATCAGATGATCTCATTACTTTGCTTCCAACTGCCTTCACA